TGGAGCGTAAAGCGTTGAGATTTGTGCTTAGTCAGCTGGTTCGCTCATCTCAAAGCATAATTCGAGGCGATCCTGCCGCAATCAAAGAAGCAGTCTCACTTGTCGGCACTGTAAATGAGTCTATGATTGGTGAGTTATTATTCGTTAGAAGCTTTAACATTTATTAGTTTTGAACACATTATAGTTGTTGTAAATTTGTAGTTAAGTTATCATTAGTCTTCATAGTCATGAATAGTTACTCAATGCAAGGAACTAGTAGCGCAAACTTAGACCTACTGAACCTAACCAGCGCGCTATGGGTGCAATTCGCCTGCAGTGGACAACTTAACACTTGCTTTACCGAAGCTGATGTGTAAACTTAACTGTGGAAATGCTTCTCAAAAACGCATTCTAATTTAATCAAGGATGACAATTCTTGACTAAGTCTTTGAAAAGTCTGATTTTCAAAGGCTGTATTTATGTTGCCAACTGCAGTAGAAATACACTAAAAGATAGGTCGAACTGTCAAGAAAAAAAAACCTTAATTCAGGCCCTGTTCTATTAATGTGATTAAGACTATTAAAAATGTGTGATTTGGAACATGGTTATAATTTAACACTTTCGCATGGTGCAAATACAAAGTAATCACTAGGCTAGGTGGGGGATAACCTTGCGGAGGGGAGAGAGGGAAAAAGGGGAGGATTACTAGTGAAATAGATATAAAAGCGAACATATATCGAATACGCTTACAAGTTTTCGCCGTCACAAGTGGGACACATTCATGCGTGCATGCATGTGTTTTGGAGTTCGAATAGCGGAAGACAAAGTCTGGAAAACGCTGGTTCAAAGATACCAAATGTCAACTTTTGCGCCTTTTTGCCTAAGCAGAATCAAAGAAAGAACCTCCGCGAGCTAAAGGGAATGCGAGAAAGTAAGCGGAAATGTTAAAAACTTGCGAGCGTGTTCCGATTTGTCGCCTTCCGCGTGTCCTCTCTCTAGACGTATATGGAGTGGCGCGATTTTCGGTTGTCAGAGCGGATTTGGAG